AATCGAACTAGTGCGCATGCCCGGGCGCAACATTGTTGCACGAACCTGGCCAAACGACCACAACATCATGCAACATCCACAAATGTTGCATAAAAAATATGACCATTTTCAAATTTTAGCCAACTACACCCAACATGTCGCAACACGTCGCAAAAGCGTGGCCAAACGCGCACCATGCTGCACCCAACAATGTTACGATATGTTGCATTGAAATGTTGCGATCGTTTGGCCGGGGCTTAAGCTTTCAAACGTACATCAACTATACATTAACGGCAATTCTCACGACAACGTGCAACCTTGTTCTCAGGGTCCTTCCTCGTAGGAAGAAAGAGGACACAGTGCAAACGAGGTTGTTTTCTGTTGGTCACGTTGAGCAACTTTGGGTGTCGATGATCGCGGGCCCAGTCATTTTTCAACATCAGGGGGACATCAGCGGCACCCTAAAACAGGTGTCAGCGGACTATTCTAACAGACCAAAACAACGCCTACCTTGAGAGCTTGATGGCCTCGTGTCCGTGTTTATGAAACGGGTGTCCGTAGAGTAGGAACGACAATACACGACACGTATCTTTCGACAAACTGGAATGCCTGATCCTTTAAACAAGTTTTACCTCATTTTTGAACTGAGCGAGCGACGAAAAACAAGCACTCATGATCTTATCGCAAGCCACCCTGGGTCACGTCAGCTCATAAATGGCAGACACGACAAGTGAATTCAGTGCCTGATTCGTCAGGCTCGGCTTCGGGTACCGGTTCACCATTGTTTGTGAGTCATTGTACATGCCGTAATGATTCGATTTAGCGCTCTCCTTCCAAACAGCGCCCCCTTTCTAATAAGTGCTCTCCATTCAAGCGCCATTTTTTAAGTGCCCTCGTTCCAATAAGTTCTCTCAAAGTAAAAGTGGCATTTAAAACAGAATAGACTGCTCAGAAGGACGAATTACGAAGTCTGGTTTCTCGTCTGAACGTAGTATTAATCATTATGACTATCAGAGTCTCTAAGGTTACAGTTCTGGAATTAAAGTTTCTGTGGTTTATTATTCTGTATTGAGTCACTTTTAGGTGGCCCAAAACAGTTTCCAGCAGTTACATTTTGATGGGTCATTATAACCACTCTTTATCACTTGATGTTACAATCATGGTATCAAAAGACAGCCCAATCACTGGTGAACACGTTGTTATCATTTTTGTGATACAATAGGTTGCCATAGCAACAGTATGACGTGCTAAAAACAACCTTAATTAAAGCTTTAGGGGCTTATAACTCAACAACGGCGCGGTGAAATTTTTTTATATTATCAACTTTTGATAAGCATGATAAGACGCAGCATTTAGCAAATTTTGAAAAATCTGTACATAGAGTTCAGAACCACCTTAAACTTTTGAAAATTTAAGGTGGCTCTGAACCCTATGTACAGAAATTTTTTAAACTTTGCCCAAAGGTGGGGAGTGGGGCACTGCCATAAAAAAGGACGGGGTTGCTCGTCGGAAATTTTGAAAAGAACCCCTGAAAGGTACTAAGATCCTGTTTTGTGGGCGTCGCTCGAATTTTTTCTCCCTTAAGAGGTACCAATTGTAAAACAACACATTATCTCCTGTCATTGTTTTTTTGCCTCAATACCCTAAAAGGTACTGCAAAAGCTCCCGCTGTGGACTTTTTGAAGCCGAACACCCTAGGAGGTAACGACGAAAACCCCCGTCCTTTTTATATGGGATTCCCCCCGCCCCAGAGGGTTGTCCAATACACCCAACTAGAGTCGATTCGTGTTTTAAGTTGACGATTCGACCAACCGGATGT